CATTTATAATTTTTATCTATGGGAGGGTTAGTTTGATACCAGAATCTCTGCCTTGTCTTAATATGATTTGTTTTTGAATTTTGGCACACTTTTGTCTTTTTCTGCAAAAAGCACTTGAGCTTCTAGTCTAGCCTTCCACAGATAAAAACACATTTCTTATCATCTATAGGTGTTTTGTCTCCTGACAATTGAAGGATTTTTCTATGCTTTCTCCTTGAATTCAAATTTTAAAAAGTAAATTCACCTGGAATAAAAGTTTACTGATTTGTGACCCAATAAAATCTTCTTACCACACTTAAGCCCAATGTTGCTCTAACAGCCTTTTTATGAAATGAAGATCAGTCATAAAATGTAAATAAAGAACATTTTATGTAAAATAAAGAACATTCTACTTACTTATTATCCAGTCACTAATTCCTCTTCATACACACACACACACACACACACACACACACACACACACACACACACACACACACACACACACACACATAACATCTAGATCTGATATGATGTGTGAGATGTTCCTCCTGTCTTTATTTGTCCCTTAGCATCTTAAAAAAGTTCTCTGATATGCTGGCATGGAATCAAGGCAAAAGACCAAAATGTTTGGTTAAAGTTTGTTTTATAATCTTTTTATTTTATCCAAACAAATAGATTCCAGTCTGCTTGGCCTTTCATTCAATTACTCTCCCTAGAGCACAGCTACTTTTCTAGCCAACCGAAAGGCCCTGCTTTCTCTTTTATACCTTTCTTAATTCTACCTATCTTTGAGTGTCCATCCAGCTTGTCTTCCAAATCTTCTTGCCACTGGACCTGTACCACTTTCTCTATATAGGGTTTTCCTTATGATTTATCAATTAACACACATTTCACCCTGTGCAGAGGATTAACTAGTACATTTAGAAGGCAGCTGAGATGGGTTGGGAATAACAAAAGAGGTGGCCTTAAAAACTACTTCTAAAATACTTTTAAAACCTGTGTGGTTACGATCAGACAATAGGAAGCTTCACTTCTTCTTTTCGAGTATATTCCTCAAAATAAATGTTGTCCTGTCTCATTTTATAATTTCATCACCTTGTATGAGTGTAATTTTCTTTCCCAAGAAGATGAGAAGATTCTCAAGGGCAAATATCACGCTCTCTCCTTCTCCCACTGCATCTAGTAGAGTGTTTCACACAAAGGTAAAAGTTTATTTGAAAGTATTGCTTTGAATTTTAACCATTTGTCTGAATCTCTCTGTTTTCTTCACTTATAACTTCCCTAACAGTGTTTTTCCAAATTTGATATCCTACTAAAGAGCATGAAGATATACGTCAATGATTCCTAGTTTGGCTTCTGCTTAATTATCCAACCATATTACTCTTTTTCCCTCACTCACTAGGCTCTTGCTACGCTGGTTTTCTCTGAGTACGTTAACACATTCAGCAACTCCTGCCTCAGAGCCTTAGTTCTTGCTATTTCCTTTACCTAGAATGGATATGGCATGGTTAACTGCTTCTCATCACTTAAGTCTCCGATCAAATGGTAATTCCTCAGAGAAGTCTTCCTGATCACCTTTCCAAAGTTTCCTGCTCCCTCCAACCTGACCCAAATCATTCTCTTGCCTTGTTTTACTTTCTTCTTAGCATTTATTAGTACCTGAAATTACCCTCTTAATACTTGTTTGTGTGTTTACTGTCTGTCTTCCCATATTAGAATCTAAACTCCATGAGGGCAAGGAACTTTGTCTCATTCAGAAAAGTATCCCTAAAGCCCAGAAGAGTGCCTAAATGACAAATACTGGAGCTGTCATCTTGTATGCTATTATGAAAATGATTTGTAGTAGATACCGTATTTCAATGTACATAATGATAAATTTATTTCAGTGAAAAATGGCATAGAGGTAAAGGTTACAGAGATGTTTTTAAAGAATAAACAAGGCATTAATTTTAATTTAATCCTACCCTGTGAGACTACAGGTCAAAAGATCTAGTGATGAAAAGCAGAAGAAAAATAGCAAAAGTATCTTGTATATAATGATAATAGCTAATATTTACTGGGTACTTGCTATGTTCCAGGTATTATTCCAAATAGTAGACTTAAAAAACAACAACAACAACAACTCATTTAGTCCTCACAACAAATCTGAGATAGGCATACTATGATAATCTCCACTTTATGCATGAGGATACAAAGAGCAGAGATTATATAAAGACTTAAATAGTTTGACTTGCCTGAAGTTATAAAGCCAGTAAATGCCAGAACTGGGAATCAAACCTAGGCAGTTTGATTCCAGTGTATGGTTGTAACCATTGAGATATATGGCCTCATCTCTATTTAGAAGAGCAAAGTGTATTTATTTTAGTTTTCTCCCTTATTTACCAAGCAGACCTGGCATTAATTTTTAAAATATAGTCTTACAAATAGTTTAGAATAAACAATAATGGACTTGGGGTTCAGTACTAGGCCTAGATATGTTATTAATCTATATAATCCTCAGTTCCCAAACATATAAAATGAAGGGCTGGTTGAGTCTTATTAAAAATAAACTAATATTTTATAAGGTTCC